AAGTACCTTCAAAACCTTCCTATCAAGTGCCTTTCAATGCTTGCCTACATTAGAATTTATTATTTTTTCCTCAATTTTGCCACTTTCCTAAGGTAAAGTGGCACTTCTGTCTTAAGCTCTGAGGATCTTTGATTAACAGTAAACCTGACCATTTGTAGTGTTTGTTTATGATGTATGTCTCATGGGATAAACAACCCAACTTCCATAGGGATGTTTGGAGGCAAAATACCAGCAGGCAGAATTTTAGAGAAACACGGTGTGGTGGATTCGAAGATAGCTGCCCGCAGACACAGACAAGTGTGGTGGTGGCCAGAGGGAAGGCGGCAGGGTGGGGTGGGTGTGGCTGGGTGGAGGTGGGCAAAGGGGAGGAACATGGGGACATCTGTCATAATATCAACAATAAAAATAAAGTTAAAAAATGATTTTAGAAAAAAACAAAACAAAAACATCTGCTAATACTTTGGTGCTTCTTCAACTGAGCCCTTCAACTTGGATGTAGCTGGAATGATGCTTTGCTGGTTTCAGACCTGGGCTCCAGGCAGAGCAGCAGCTCCTCTTGAGCCCCGAGCCGGCTGGACAGAATCTTTTGAGGGGCCCCGACTACGTGGAGAGGGAGCTGGGCTCTACTGGGTCAGACTTCACACTGTTCTTGCCAATGGGCCAGATACACGAGTCTTGGACCCATGAGATTCTCAGCTGCCAGCTAAAATCCACCCAAAGATCCCAAAGGAACAAGGATTAGAAGAATTGTCCAAATCCTTGTCCCATAACATGGTGAGAAAATTATAAAGTGGTGGGTTTTTTTTTTTTACACCACTGTTGTAGGGTAGTTTGTCATCAAAGAAAACTGAGCTAGCAAAATTAACCAGTTGGCTCATTTGGACTTTAGAATTAAAGTAAACAAAATGAATAACTATGTGCAATGGGAACAGAACCCCAAAGGAGATCCCTAGTTGCCCTGCAGCCAGCATTTGACTTTGTCTCTGTTCAGCCCCCATGTTCTCTCTTCTTGCTCAGCCACTTCCTCTATGTCTTCACTATTTCATGTAGCAAAGGAAACCCGAACACCAGGAGAATAAGGAGAAACCGAGTTTGTGTCTAAAATGCAAATGAAGGTTGTCAGAAAATCCCGTCCATGCTTCTTAAATCAGGATGAACCTTTGAGAATATCACAGAGACCACTGAGCAGTTATTTGAAATGATGGGACGAAGCAGTGACATGGACTTGTGAGTTTGAGGCCTGTCAAAAATGCCTTATTAACAGACCTTTGCAACTTTTCCAGGTATCTAATTATACATCATTCTGGAGTAGTTGTTAAAAGAGTTTTATCTTTTTACAGGCTCCTTCCCCAGGCAACTTTTAACTACAAGTTGAATCTGTAACCAGACCTTTTTACTGGTCTGACCCCGTCATCTTCCACTTTAAACACAACTATTAACTACAAAGAACAGCACTGAATTCTCCTCCTCCATTCCTGCTCCCCGTTTTCCCACCAAACTCAAAGTAACATATAAAACTTGCCACTTGCCATGGCCAGGTAGCTCAGTTCATCAGAGCTTCTTCCCAATAGGCCAAGGTTATGGATTCAAGAGCACATAAAAAAATCAACCAATGAATGCATCAATACGTGGAACATCAAACCAATCTCTCTTCTTTCCTGTCTCTAAAATGTCTTAAACATGCTTTTAAAGAAGGTTTTTTTTTTTAAAAAAAAAACTTGTCACTTATGGCATGTAAGAATATCTAATTTAATTTTTGGTGATGGTTGATTATTCATATTTTGGGGGAAAATTTATTCATTTTAGAAGTATACTGCCTTAGCATTAAAAAAATTATTTAACTAATCAAGCTGAATTAGGGATCAAACTTTGTTTCTAAATTTCCTCAGTATTTTTCTGACATTTCCACTTAATTTTTTTCTTAAGTAACTATGGATGTAAAATACAAATAAATAAGAGTTAGATTTGAGGAGGAATTAGTGAAGAGGTTAAAGTGAGACAAGTCTAGAATGGAAACGAACAATGAAAACTCTTCAATTTTGGCACAAGTAAAAAACATCTCTTTTTTAGATAGATTTAGTTCTATCACCTTATTCAGATTAAAAGGTGATAGAACTTTCCTTTGATTCTACAGCATTTTGTATTCATTGAGCAATCAATAAAATAATAAAGAAACTTTATATTATTTTCTTTATATATAAAGATGTATGGTTACTCTAATTATTTTCAACCTAAATAACTCTGAAATGAGAGATAACTATAATATTTTTAAAAAATAAAAAAATTATTAAAAGTCTTTCTGAGCCATCATTTGACTCTGCTCTTAGAATGATAGAACGGGTTCCAAGTTGCAAATAGTTTTGTAACAGGTTCCAATTTCCCTTTTTACTCCTTGTTTTAGTAAAAAGATAAAAAGATTTTCATATTTTTAGTTGAATACAATGCAACCAAATCAAGACCCAAAGCAAAGGTATCCTACCTTCAGGAACTAAATATGATTCATTCTCTAGTGTGAAAACTTTTGAAACAGAAATGTCAAAATAGATTCCTTACATGCAGGTCCCAAAGCTTAGAGTCAATACCAAATAAAATGTAAAAATAATAAAGAAAGGACTCAGGGAACAAAGAATGATGAGTTTATTGCCAAGGAAAAACTCCTGGATTAAAATAGATTTTTTTGGGAGTGGAATTTTAAAATGGGTCATTTTCTTGATCTAAAACTGAGACCAAGTCTTAATAAAATAGGTGCTTGAATTATTTTTTCCTTCCTTCCTTCCTTCCTTCCTTCCTTCCTTCCTTCCTTCCTTCCTTCCTTCCTTCCTTCCTCTCTCTCTCTCTCTCTCTCTCTCTCTCTCTCTCTTAAAAGCCAAGAACATTTCACTTGATACAGAACTGATAATTTGTGATTGAACAGTTAATTTTTCTCCATGCATGAGGGTGGTATACCAGAAGTAGGAATCTATGACCTAAATCCCTCTATCCTTCCTCCCCTACCATCAACTCCTCCAGTCACCCCTCCCCCCACCACACACATGGGTAGTTTCTACCGGGGAGACTAAGCTTAGCAAGATAGTCCTCTGAGAGTCTCCTAAGGAAGAAAGAGGGGGAAGAACAATGTGAGCTAGAGAAGGAATAGGTTTTTTGATGATTTAGGAATCCCCTTGTCTGAACACTCTACATTATGTATTTTATTCTCCCTAGTTTCCAAGTCCATGTCTTCATAGCCATGATAACTCCCAAAGGACAATGGCCAGGACTTACTCTTCATATCTGACGATTATACCCTTCCTGCTCAAGTCTCTCTGTTGAACTAAATTATGAATTATACTACTCAATTTAGAGATAATTTATTATATTTATCACTAAAGAATAAGTACCTTAAAATATTTTTAACAAGAAACAATGTATTAAATAGATTTATATGAAATATATAAGGGACCACTATACCATGCTACCTAACACTATAAACTATACTCTAAATTTTTCAATAAAAAATACATTACAGGGGTGAAAACTTGCCTATATTTCTTATCATACCAAGGAAACTTGTTCCTCTCTTTTGGTTTCTCTTTGCATCAATACCTCTCTTGTTGGAGGATTATAAGCCTTAGAAAAGACTGTATTGTTTATAGGAGCTGAATATCTTCTTTTTCCTATTTCTCATTCTTGTTTATTCTTGTTTATCATAAGCTGTTCTTGTTTGTCTTTGGCTATGGTTAGATATTTCCTCAAAGGTGCAGTTTTCTAACTCTTAAAATTCATTATCATGCTGGTTTTTACCCAACCTTTGGACAAAGTTGAATTAATTTTTAAAATAACATTTCCCAAATTTTGATGGTTGTTTTGTAAAGACAACAGTAGAGATGGCAGTAACTCTGGGCTGGGCACTTACATGTATTCCTCCATTCACACAAGTTTCTGTGTTCATGTGTGCCTGGATGTGCTTGTGTCTTAGAGCTGTCTGGCCAGAGAAAATCAGGGTTAATGTATAATAAAGGTCATAGGAATGAGCTGTGCAAATAAAAAAAATTAAATGTATAGAATGGATTAAAGTATATAAGGAAAATGGGTAACAGATAATAGAAGTAAATAAACTTAGAAATTTTTTTCTGCTCATGGAACATTCCAAAAAACCATCACTCTATCCTTAGACATAACTACGAATAATATTTCTCATATTTTATTCAAATAATTTTATATTCATATACCTATACATGTAAATTATATTTGAGATCCTTGGTCATTTCCCTAATATGAGGCAATAATGTTGCTTTCAACTTTTGTCATAATTTTTTTTTAAAATCCTTATCTGAGGACATTTTTGCATTTATCTTCAGATGGAGTGGGAGGGGGAAAGGGAGGAAGAGAGAAAAACATTGGCGTGAGAGAGACACACTGACTGGTTGCCAACCACACGACCCCAACCGGGGCCAGACAAACGCAACCAAGTTACGTGCCCTTAGTGGGAACCGAACCCGGGACTCTCTGGTCCGCAGGCTGACGCTCTAACCACTGAGCAAAACCAGGCAGGGCTGTATTAAATAATCTTATAAAGTACATCTTTGTGCATGAATTCTCAGTTCAAATTTTTTTTTGAAAATTGTTTTCTTAAAATTAATCCTAAAAATTGTAATTACTGAGTCAGAAGGCAAAACCTTTTGCAGGATTTTGTTTTCTAGAAGAGCTGTTCAAATCTCTACTCCTGCCAGATATTCAGAAACATGCTTTTTAATTAAATTTTTTTTTATTGCCATAAGGGTGCCAAGAGAATATAATTGACAAAATACTCTAGATGCAAATTGCCTAAGCCAAAGATGGGTAATAATCAGTAAATTGAAAAGCAATTCTAAACGGTAGAGCAAGGCTGTTAATAATTTTAATTCACTTGAAACTAACAATTGTCCTGGGCACCAACTCTCAAGGCTTCTTGACTTCCTTTCTTTATGACAGAAATGCTTTTCTAAATCCAACAAAGGATTCAAGGGAAAGAACCACATTACCTGTCAACGCTGAGAGCACAGAGGTTGAGGACGGTGATCCCCACTGAAGACTTCTGCAAAAAGGGGAACAGCTTGCAGAGAAATATGCCAAAGTCATTGTGATCAAATGGCCAGCGCCCAGCCAGCAGCTGAAAAAAAGGAGACACCGCAGTGAGAAATGGCAACGCTGGCATAGAATAGATGGACACACACTTCTAATTATCTCCCGAAGTTCTAAATTCCACTACTCTTTATGCTTTCCAGTTAGCATGGGGGTAACAGAGTATTCTTCTTCTTATTTTCATGTTTTAAAGCCTTAGCCATCTGCAAAGGTATGGAAAATGATAAATATCATAACAGAAGAGATAAACCTTTGATCTTGTATGAAGTAGTCATACCAACTTCTTTTCAAAGAGTAGCAAAAGTATGGGGTTTGGGAGACAGCTTAACAGAGAAGCAAGCAGTCATCTTACCAATTCTTGCTCGACCACGAGTAAAGCAAATCATTTCCAGCTGGTGGCATTGCAAGATTATCTTGTCTCCTGACAAGCAGCCAAAGTTCTGAATGTGAGGTTATGAAGAACTGGGAAAATGAAGTGGTCTAGGATGTACCGACTTTGTCAGCTGATTAACACCCAAAGCCATTTGGAATGTACCTTTTCCTCGGAGCTTAAGGAGCTGACTGCTCCAGTAGGTGTGTCATAAGTGGCCTTACTTTCTTTGGGCTCAGTCTTGCCTTTATCATACAGAAAAACGTGGGTCCTGTGATCTGTTTGTACCATTTGCGGAAAGTCTATTTTTTCATGTTGACAATTTAAAATCTTTGTTGGGAGAAAAGGATGGACACCCTCTAGTGGCTGTGGTAAGTAGCGAGAACATGAATCCCATGAGCTGTTAATATTCATCTAATTAGATATTATATTAGGAACACAATGGTTCAGCTCCCTGAAAGGAAGTCTCTGCTGAATATATGATGCCTTTTCAAGAGTAAGAATAGTATTGATTTCTTTTCCAAATTTTGCTTAGTGACTCAGAATTTAAACTTACTCCACTCAGTAGGAAATGCTATCCTCTTAACTAGACACATTTTTCTTCCTTTCTTTCTTTTGGGCAAAGTACCTATTGCCATAGTAACTCTAAGCTGAGCTTTGAATTTCTGTTCCACCATTTCAAAACATAGTGCAAAGTTTAAGTTCATGGTCAATGTGGTCATTAATGTGAGTCCATTGAAAGAGGGTGGGGAACCAGTATCCCACAGATGCAAAATAAGAATCTATGCATTTTGAGGATTTAGTAACAAAGGCTCTTTAAAATTCTATTTTTATGGCTAAGAGCTGATATGACTTAATTTCAGAAGTTATCTTAGAGTTTTCTAACATATTTCCCTGTCTTCAGAGTAGTTTTCTAAAAAGACCTCTACCTCCAATCCAGTCTTTCCTCTGGTCTTGGTCGGTGCCTTCTCAGCATTTCTACATGAACTTTTGTCCAAGGACAACTGGTGAGCCCTAAACTCTGACAGTTTTCATGAAGCTAACAATTATACCATTGCTGATTGCTGGTTATTAATGCTAGATGCAAGTAAAGACATAAAACACTATTTCTGGGATGAATCACCCCCTACGAAGAAAAGAAAACCTGAAAACTACTTTTTATAGAATGAGAGTTCAGTATTTTATCCCCAAATTGTAATTCTCCATTAAAGATTACAGAGATGTAATTAAAATGTGTAGGGGTTGTTATAGGATATGCTTTGGAGTAGTTGAACTGTTATGTTGTGGTTATTGGTTCATTCCTAGAGGCAGAGGATCCTGAAATCCACCTGGATGGATTTCCCAATTCAAACATCAACAATGAGAGAAAAGAAAAGGATTTTTCTTGCTTACCAAGAAATCCTGTGAAGGTCTAAGTGACAAGTGCTGAGAAAAATGATCCAGAAAAAACTGCAATTGAGCATGTATTGTTTGGGGACATTCCAATCTCAATGGAATTTTCTCCTTTTCTATGCTTGCTTAAACTTTTAACTCGGGTTACATGTAAAGGAAGGACAGAAGGGAAAGATATCATGGTATTGGTGGGTACCAAAAAATTATAGAACTGTCTTTCTTTGACACAAATAGGTGTTTTGTTATTTTTGTTGTTATTTTTCTTTCCTGCAGGAGTGAGCATAGATTCTTTTGGGGATGTATAGGTAAAGGGGGGGATGAAAGAAATCACTGGAGGAAGTTTTTAGGTACAATCACAGTGTAGACTTCCCCAACCTATACCCACTTCAGTCTGAAAGATGTATGTATAGTAAATGTTCCAGTGCAGCCCAGGGAAATTAGGCCCCTGCCCAGAGGCAGCTTCTTCCCTCTCTGTAACTGTGGCTTCTTCAAAGAGGCCCTCCTTAACCACCCAATGGCAAATCAAGTAGGACCTGCTTGTTGGTCTCATCCAGGGAAGCAAAGTTGGAGTAATTTTACATTTCTTTTTTTTTTTTATCCTCACCCAGGACACTTTGTGATATTTTGTTCAGATAGAGTGTGTGTGTGTGTGTGCGGGAGAGAGAGAGAGAGAGAGAGAGAGAGAGAGAGAGAGAGAGAAACATCGATGTGAAAGGGACACATCGAGTGGTTGCCACCCACATGACCCAACCAGGGCGGGGGGCAAACTGCAACCGAGGTACGTGCCCTTAGCAGGAACCGAACCCAGGTCTCTCCGGACCACAGGCCGAGGCTCTAACCACTGAGCCAAACCGGCCAGGGTTAATTTTACATTTCAAGTCTCCTTTCCATTCACTCTGTTTTAGGAATCAAACATATACAAAAGGAAGAGAGCATCAAAGAGGCTCATCCCTTTTTCTATGATTGGGAGGGGCATTTTGGAACTTCTGAGAGATTACTGGGAATGCATCCTTTCTTTTATATACTCGTATTTGAAATGGAAAATACAATTTTTTAAATGGTAAAAATAAGCTGTATAGAAACAAAACCAATCAGGGCCCCTACACTTCCTGCCCAAAGACAGCCACTGTTGGTTGCTAATTGTGTTTTCTTCCAGAAAACTTCCTACGTAAATACAAACATATGCCTTTTGTAAAAACAAGTGGAACCATATGCAAAATAATACTTGTTAGCAGTCTTTTATGACCCCCCCCCCCCACCGGAAAGTACTTTTCTGGGAAACCGAATTGAAAGGTTCTTATTTTTAAAAGCACAACGATGAAGCTATTTAGGCGGGGATGGAAGAAGATAAGCAACTGCTTAGGATAAATGTGAACTTAGGTCTGTGTGAACATGCTATTGAGTAGCATTAGGGTTAACCTGGCACTTTGGAGTAGTCATATCCTACTTTTTACCATAAAAGGGTCTGCAACCCTCATGCTTATAATTTCCAAGCACATCACACAGCACCTAGCACACAGTAGGTATTGAATAAAGAAAGATTCCAACTCATTAATTCAGGACAATATTTGTATATTTTGAAACCAGTATTACCAAGTTTGCCCTGGAAACACACTCCTCTTGTAATGTACTTTCTCTTTAAAGTTGTTTCTCAGTATCTCAGAGTAGCACTTCCACTCTTATTGTTGAAAGAAACAATACACCTACCGACTAGTTGCTTGAGACAAGGGGAGAAGACTGTTCTAGGAAAGACCCAGAAAAGAGGGCTGCGGCAGGCTCCTCTTTGACACCTCTCACTTTGGGCTGCAGGCTCCTCTTGGACATCTCTCACTTTGGGCTGCAGGCTCCTCTTGGACACCTCTCACTTTGGGCTGTGCTGGGACTGCTCAGCCTGGAGGAGCCGGGACGCACGCGGAGCTGATGCACGTCCTGGGGTCTGAACCACCCCCTGCCGTCCCCTTCCCGGGTCCCAGAGGCGCACCGCAGAGCCATCACTGGGCACGGGTTTTACTGAAGGACACCGGCCTTGGTTCTCAGGTAGGGGATTTTTCTATAGTTGAAATAGAGTTAAAGTCCGTGATCATCGGCCGAAAACTAAAAAACTACCAAATGGCACATATTAATGTAGAAATCCTGTATTTGTGTGGCTGACTTAGATTGTGTCAAAATCAACATCATAACATTGATAGGCTGCATTTTTTTTTTTTTCTAACCAGTCAAAACAGATTTACTGAAGAACTTTTGCCACATGATACACTGGTAAGAACCCTGTTTTTATTTTTTTTATTAATCACCGTTTTATTTAATTATTTTATTTTTTATGAATATTGATGCAAATTTTTATTTATTTTTATTGTTGAAAGTATTACCGGTGTCCCCTTTTCCCCCACTGACCCCCTTCTTCCAGCTCCCACCCCAGCCTAGCGTCGGTGTCGATTGGTTGAAGCACCCGCTTTTAGAAGGACGAGGCCCAAGAGCAGGATGTCCATCTGTATTTAGCACAAAGCAATATCTACATGGTTGGGAACTTTCATTCATTTATTTATTTTTTTAATTTCTGTTTTTTCTTTATTGATTTTAGAGAGAGAGGAAGTGACAGGGAGAGAGAGATAGAAACATCGATGGGAGAGAACATGGATTGGCCGCCTCCTGCATGCCCCCCACTGGGGATCAGGCCCACAACCTGGGCATGTGCCCTGACCGGGAATCGAACTGGCGACCTCTTGGTGCATGGGTCGACGCTCAACCACGGAGCCACACCAGCCGGGCATCGGTTGGGAACTTTTAAATACGTGCAGTGCACCTGTTTATATCAGTTTTCTGAAACACACCCGACAACCAGGGAGTAAGCAAAAATGCAAGGAGCCAATGGTTGATGTGGATTTTACACCCTAAAGCTTGTGTACCTGACTCGGGCAAACTGCCGGAGTCTTCGGGCAGGCGGACTTACTCTTACTCCACACCCAATGCTATAAAGTGGAGCTTTCCTTGTTCTTTAGTCCCCCGCACATCCAAAGCTGCTCATTGATAGGAACCTTCCCGAGTGACAGTTCTTAGTCTTGCTGTGCATTAGGGAGCATTAAAAAAACCCAGTACCTGGTCCATGCCCCGAGGTGAGTGCTTCTCACCTTTGGAGACATTTTTGGTACAACTAGTGTAGGGGGGTGGCTACCACCATCTACTGGGTAGAGGGCAGTGATGCTGCTAAACACATCTTGCAATAAACAGGACAGGCTCCCCAACAAATAATTATCCAGCCCAGAATG